AAGTAAGGAATTAGAGATAAAAGTAGACTTAACCCAAATTTGTATATGATTGAATCTATATATCTTTTAAATTCCACTGCCCAGTGTCCTTAGTATTCTAGAATTGGAAGAAATCTCAGTGTTCATGTAATCTGAGATGCAGATAAATTAATTAACCTGCCTATGTTCACGCCATTAGTGGCTGATCTAGGCCCACCAAAGTCCTCTGATTTCCAATTTTACAACTTCACAAGAATAATAACTGAGGGACACTAGGGCAGGATCTCTCTATCACTTGTACCGAGTGCACCTCTCATTTACCATCAGTTATGTCATCTTTTTCCTATGTCTTCAGACCTTCTCTACTTTTGGAACATAAGACATTTATCTTTCATTGTGGACAGTGTGTGCTGCTAGCTGTCCTGAACACTGTGAAGAGCTTGATGAAAAAGGACAGTGTTTCCTTGTTTCTAAGATGCACATGTTGTTCATGTTTAAACATTTTGTAAACAAATGCCTTCCAATTCATAAATACAGCTCTTAAATTGATGATATATCTGAAAATTGATAACATTTAAAAAGCTAGGAACCATAGTCTATGCCTTACGTTTGTCGTCTGCTAACCCCACCCCCAAACCAGGACAACCTATTGTGGTGTCTGGCACATAGTAGGTACTCAAAAATTGTTGAGTGAATACATGAATACATGAATATATGAAGTAAGGTACATTACAATGAAAACATGTATTCTCCTTCAGAGTACTTGCAACTTTTATCTTTTTTCCTTCAGGTGTACTTATGACTACCCAGTTAAGGAACCGCTTTTAGGAAACAGGAGAAAAATTGACTTTATCATAGGAACTAAGTGTGGTAATTCCTATGCATTATATATCATTTTTATTGTGTTATTTTTAACTTCAAAAATATCTGATGTCAGAACTTCACTTCTGGGGATACATTATTGACAGAGACATTGCCAAGGAAGTTTAAAAATGTTGAGGAAGTATGCTGTCAATAATTAATGTCATGCTAATTATAAATTCAAACTAGACCCTTAGATCTCAAAGTGATCCATGCTTATCAGAGAGCTAGGTGAACTGCTCTGGCCCTGGACATTGCAGAAATCATTTAAGTTCTTTCTTCGCAGTGGCTAAGCTTAACACTTATTTCTAGTGGTAATGACTAAGGCTGCAGAGCTGGGCTTTATTTAGCTGGTAGTAGGCAGGAGAGTTGAACAGGCACAAGTTTTGAAATCAGATGAGGTTGGGTTGAAACCTGGACTTGTACACTTAATAGCCATGTGAAGTTTAGCAAATTAAATAGCCTCTCTGAGGCCTCAGTTTACTCACCTGCAAAATTAAGGTAGAAATATGGATCTTAGAGGATTAGTATGAGAATTCAATGGGGATAAAAGATACAATGTCCTTTGTATAACAAAAAGAAGCTAGCATTCTTTCTTTCCTCATCTCCCTCTTTGGGTAACTTCTGACTTCAGGCAGAAATCTCACTCCTCAAAATATTTGGGGAGCATTGTTTCAGTCCTTGAGTGTCATGCCTTCATAAATACACTGTATATTCTGCCCCTTTAACTCGTAAGAGTCTTTTGTCACTGGAACAGTATTTTCCTATCTTTGAGATTTGTGAATGACTTCTAGGATTTTTGCAATTTCCTTATAGACCAATAAGACTATTTGCTTAGTATATGTTAGACTTGCCTAGATCTAACATCTGTAAAATCACAAACTTGATGTCCTAATTATATACATATACAAGAACATATAGCTTTTATGATATACATTAAAATAAATAACTCTTACATGTTTGTGATTCACCTAAAATCATCTCATGCACCATTATTGGTATGCATGCAGTATACCAATACAGGAGTCCAAAACTACTCTCGATATTTTAAATAGAAAGGGATTTAATACAAAATTAGTGCTTATAAAACCACTGGGTACGAACCTTCAGGATCGACTCTCACAATACTGTAGAACTGACCAGCCAAGAATAGTCTAATCTCTGTCTTATTAGTTATCAGAATCCTAAAAAGGTAGTTTCTAAAGGGTCTATCCTAAATTTTCATTATTACTAGAAAAATAATACTTATGATTAAAAATCCTACTGCTGGTGATCAGAAATAACATCTGCATTTATGAAAGACAACTTATTCATTGATTTTGTTTCTCCATCTATAACAGGTCTGCACCGTGTTTACCCTAAATGTTTGATTTTTAAAAATGTTTTTCCTTCTGATCTTTGTGTATTCATTTTAAATGGTTATAATAAAAATGTTATGACTTGTTTTTCACTTGATATATTTCATATTCATACTATATAATCCATTTTACATTATTATAATCTATCATATATAAAGTAATATAAACTATCTTTCATAACCATAGAATCAAGAAAAAAGTGAATATAAAGATCAACTTTACCATGATAATTTATGTGCTGAGCTTCACATAGATCCCTATTGAATTTTTAACAGCTTTATTGAGATACATTCACCCATTTAAAGTTTTTTGGTATATTCATAGGAGTGTACAACTATCACTAAAATCTCTATTAAATTTCATCGTTTGATTTTTAATTCATTTTTCTAAATAGCATAATTCTGCCATTTAATTGCTTATGCTCACTTGCAATGCATGCACGCTCTATCTCTCTGCTCTAATAAAACTGCTCAAGACAGGGTTAAAACCATGACCAGGTAGCTGCAGGTTGAGATTATTCTGTTCAGCAGTGCTTTTTTTTTTTAAGGTAGAATAATTTAAATAAGCTTTAAAATCACTTCAACTTCACTATCAGTTAACACCAACCCAGGAAGCATGAAGAATACAATGAGAAGCGTAACCCCAAAAGAAAAGGAGATAAGCACTGGCTGACATAACTGTCCTAAATACAAACATTCTATTTTTTCCAAGAGTTCACAAATTCTGAGTCCTAGAATTTGGTTAATGACTGATATCAAATTTCCTGGCCTGTAGTTTCAGCAGTACATTCCCCCCACACATCTTTTTTTTTTCTTTTTTAAGATCAGGATAATGTTTGTTCATGGCCAATCTCTGGCATCTCTTCACAAGCAGGGAGTTGCTCTGATATTTCCTGGCTCATAGTAGGCACTTAATTTATATACATATTTGTTGAGTGAATGAATTAATGCCTTTAACAAAGAGTTCTCATAGTGTTTTCATAACCACTTTTACTATTTATTTTGGTAATAACCGTCACTTGCTAACTTCTACCTATTCATCAGCCCTTATCTTAAATGTCATTTCCGGAAGTCTTCCTGATTCTCTGCGATAGGTCAGGTGCTCCACAGCTCTGCACCCTTTCACACCACTCTTCTTACTGATAAAAGCTCTATGAGGGAAATTTCCATGTTTATTTACTGTGTTTACCTTTGTATCCCCAATTCTAAGCTCAGTGCCCATCACACAGTCGGTGCTTAGTCAGTATTTGTTGAATAATTGAAGTAGACTGGGATGTAATTTGTCTCTAAAGGCAAGAACTCATTCAACATAGGTAGATATTCTTCTACTACCCATTTAACTTTCTTGATTTTTAAATCATTGTCTTTAAAAAAAAAACACCTTTTTTTTGAGGTATAATTTACATATCATAAAACTCTTCCATTAAATTCTTATTAATGGTTTTTATCTCTCATTTTCTCTGTGAAGGTCATTTTTCTGATGAGTAAAATGGGAAGAAAATAGAAGTGGAATTTAGTGAAACCTTGGATACAGAATACACTCCTACAGTCCAATTTACTAGGGTTTACATCCGTTTTACTTTTCCATTGTGACTATAAGCAAATTAACCTCTCTAAGCCTTGGATTCTGATCTGTAAAATCGCACTTATGAGAGTTTCTTCATTGGATAAGCTGAGGATTAAATGTGATGACATGCAGAAGACCTGATGCATTGATCCAATGCAGAGGTAATAACTTCAAAAGTGTAGATTCCCTCCCTTTTCTCTGTCATCTGTTAACTTGGACTCCTAAATAGTACATCTTCTCCTTCGCCATCATTATTTTGTTCTGAGCATGTTTTAAAAAATACTCAACCTTCCTGTTTCCTTAGTATTTGTGTAAGCCCCACTGAATTCAGAGGTTTAGCTTTCCTGTCAACACTATTCTTACATATTTCTGTCCCTCTTTTTATTCATCCTTCCTCATATACTTTCTCTCTCAATCTTTTAAATATACTGGTATAGAAAACAAACCTCACCTGAGATCATTAGAGAGCAGAGTGGTTTCTTGAATTGCCATTCTTTCTTTTTCACAGTATTTTTTTTTTTTAACTCAATTTTCTTTCTCAAGGCTTCTATTCTTTTACAAATGCTTTTCCTTTTACATCCTTTAGTCTCGAAATCATACCTGTCTTTTCCCTGGATCTGTTTCCTAAAGCCTCCTACCGCCTGCCTTTCTGTCTTTTATGCTCACATCCTCCAGCTTCTACAGCTTCTCCATGACCAATCAAGTCTTCCCCTGGGAGTCATATTACATCAGCATTGGTAATGCAATATCTGTTATATTTCAGACTATGTTTTATTCTAGGCAGTCAATTAAAAACGAACCTCGCTACCGGTGTAATTTAACATGGAGGATGCATTCACTAAGGTCCAATGCAAACTGCGGCGAGATTTGGGAGACGTCTATTTATATTTATATTAAATATATACCTGTTGAATTTGGGATTTTCTTAACGCTTCAGAAACCTTGAACTTCGGGTAATTGGGATAGTAGAAAGAAAGGGTTTCCAAAAACTTCGCAAAAAAAAAAAAAAAATTAGACTCCACCAAAAGGACTGCTCCACACAATCAAGGAACACCCACCAACAAAACCCATCTCCACAACCACCAGATTATCTCACCAGCAAGTGAGACTGCAAGGTTTGGGGGTCCGGCCGTACCACTCTGCGCTGCGCATAGGGGGGATTCGTGCCCATTTGGCTGCGACTGACCATTTCCCCCCTCGTTGGTTTTGCCCCGATCCCCCTGCGCAGGCACCCACAGTGCGTCAGGCCGGCGCTTTATAGCGGCAGCCTGGGCGGCTCCACTTGCTGTTTTCGCTCTTTTCTGTGCTTAGGTTTCTTCTTCGGTTCGCGAAGATGCAGCTCAAACCGATGGAGATTAACCCCGAGGTGAGCGTCAGGTGCACCGTGGCTTGGGGAACACAGGACTGAGGGTCAGCCCTCGCCAGGCAGCCATATCGCTGACTGGTTTTATTTTTCTATTTTTTGCATTTGCCTTTCAGATGCTGAACAAAGTGAGTGGCGACTCGTGCGGCCTCTGTCCCCCTCCCCCGAAGCGCCAAGGCGGAGGCGCCCACCGGCTCCGGCCGTTTCGCAGGGACGTAGCGACGCCCTGTGCGGTCCAGCAGCGGCGGGCGGGGGCGCGGTCGGGACAACCCCCCTCTGCCCCTACATCGGGGGCGGAGGTGAAGCTGCGAAACTGGTGGGGGATGGATGGAGGAGGAGGAGGAGACTGCGCCCAGATTCGAGCGCCCGGCCGAGCTCCCGAGGGCGTGGAGAGGGCCGAGCCGACTCGTGCGCCAGGGCTTCGCGAGAGCCACGTGTGGGCCGCGCTTTGTGCTGTGTCATCGCTCCGGCGGGGTGTGGGTCGGGGACTCCTCCTAAGCTCGCGTGGGGGCGCACATTGTGCCGAGCCGGCCCCGCCCCCACCACTTGACTGTCTCCGCGGGCCTGGCCGTCTTGTCTCCTCTCCGCAGGTGCTGGCCCGGCTGGGGGTCGCCGGCCAGTGGCGCTTTGTGGACGTGCTGGGGCTGGAGGATGAGGCTCTGAGCTCGGTGCCTGCGCCTGCCTGCGCGCTGTTGTTGCTGTTTCCCCTCACGGCCCAGGTAGGGCGCGGGGCCCGGGCCTCGCAGACCATGAGCGCCTTTCTCTATCCCGAGTGAGGCGTTGAGAACATTGTTGACTCCCGACTCCCCTCCGCACCTGGCCTTGGCGCCCAGACTTGGCAAACTGCCCCCTCCCCGTGGAGAATAGAGGGAGGAGCCCGCACTTTGGAAGTACCTACTCATTGGGGCTCTTGTTATAATAGAGCTTACTGCCTCCTTGCTCATGCATCCAGCATTGTCTTAAATTTAGAAGAGAAAGAGCATCTGTTTTATCATCCCGGTTATCCAGGGAAATAATTTATCCTACTCATGAGTTCACTTGAACCTAGGCATTTCTGAGCCTTCCATGCCAAGACATGGGCTGGCTGGTCGTTTCCCTTTAAGGGCTGTCACCTGTCAGATTATTATTTGGTTCTCAGACTCCCGCCTTGCTACTGAATGGAGGGGCACAGGCTTGCCTAAATTTCCGCAAAAAAACCAAGTTCTTTAATTTTTCCACCTTAACTGCCCGGGTCTCCGGTGGACTCGGGAGTCTTCCTACTCCTCCATTTCCTACAACATGCACACTTGGATTTTAGCCTCTCCAGTGTGCTTTAAAAAAATCTTAATCATTTGTGTATTGCTCCTGTGTGAGAACCTTCTTCCACCTCTTTTATCCTCTTTCCTCTCCGACCTTGTAGCTAAATGAAATAGGTTGGCAGTAAAGTAGTCTTGGAAAGACCTTTTCATTTCCTTTTAGATGGTCTTCCTATAAGTGTACGTGGATATTTGTACCTCAGAGACTGAGCATCAGATATAAAAAGGTCGCTGGAATAATTGTGATGTGTAGAATTCCACTAATTAGCATGATATTGTCTGTCTCCTCTTGCTGTCACTTGATCCCTGATTTGGGAGTGGTTGAAACTTCCTTTAGAAAGCTTGAGGCATGAGACATTAGCATTTTGGGCATCATTACAAACACAGCTTAACTGAAGCACCATCTTAAGGCTGGGTGTTCTAGAAGCATCCTCAACATAAATTAAGCCCTATGGGAAGTTCCAAGTGTTCCCCCTGTAAATGGGCTAAGTATTGTGGGTTAAAAAAAACCTTATTAAAGCTAATTAGGATAATCTCACGGACATGTTTTTTATTGCCAAAGTCTTAGATAAAAACGGAGCTGCCAAATAATTGCAGGTCAAATTTGCTTCTCTATTGACCAAATCAAACGCCATCTCGTCTGTCTCATTTGAGCCCCTCTCAGAGCGTTCTTCTTAGAGGAACCATGATGACTCAGAGGTTTTGAGCAGCTTTCAGAGGCACAGCCTCTGGGAGACAGTGGTGCAGCGAGTTTGTCTTTCAAAAGCTCACTGGTCTCCTTTTGCTGGATTAAGCGGTTCTTGTTAGAGAACATTCTGGTTTGAATATTTTATATGTCTGAAAGAGTTTGATACTTAATCCTTTAAGTCCAGTTCAGTCTATCAGATTTATTGAGCACCTATTCTGTGATACAAAACACCTACTGGGCTAAGCATGGAAGCAAATTTAAAGAAATCGAAGTTTTTTGCTTGACATCCAAACTGATGTCAGTTTAGAAAGCATCCACTTTTGTCTAAGAATATTATGAAATCCTAAAGGGACCACTTCTAAAACATTAATTTTAAGTAATAATGAAATATTTATAGAAGTATGTCCATGCAAGTGTTCAAACAACCCTAAAGGATGGTGCTATCCCGATTTTTTTTTTTTTTAATTAACGTAGAAAAGTGAAAAGCTTTAATAGTCAATAAGTAACTCAGTTCAAGGGTCTGGTAGATACAGAATGCTAGAACTGCCTATTAGTTGGAGTTTAAGTTAATCTTGTAGGACAAGAGATCACATTCCTCTCATGGTGCCACAGACAAGGCTTCAACTTTAGTCTCATATAATAGAAACCTACTAGAATTGGAAATCTGCTTCTGGTGTTCTATCCAAATTATACTAGTTATGGGAAATTAATATTTCTATTACATTAGCACCCTGCTTTTATCTGAGAAGTCATACCTGTATGGTCTTTAAAACTCATTAGTGAAAAGTTCAGACAAGCCTACTAAGTTACTGTACAAAGGACTGATGGATGCTTTGAGGAAAACTACCTCTAGTCTCATTCATTTACTGGGGTCTTTCCTCCCCTCCATCGCTAATCTGTCCTCAAATTATAATTGGCAAGGACAAACAATGTCACATCATCCTCTTGTAGGATGAGGAAGAGTTTTTGTGAGATCACAGCCAGCACCTTAGACCAGTTGTCTTTCCTTCCTAAAAAAGGGAATAATTTTTAAGAATTGCTCTTTTTAACAGTTCAGGCTTGCTTTGTTTTGAAAAGTATACTTGGATAGAATAGATAAAACTTTAAAGAATAGTGGGACATAATCTGGCTGGTGTTCTTTTTGGGTGTTAAATTGACCAAAGCTTGATTGGGATGCCCATGTGACATACAGCCATTGTTGACCTTAAAAGAAGAAAATTATGTGGCTCTTTATATTTCTGTTTGAGATTCCTATGTTATATAATGAACTTGTCTGTTTTTCTGACTTTGTGATACCATCCATTTCTAGCTAAAATGTTGCAGTGGTGTCTAGACAAAGCCTTGGGCAATATCCAAGGCTGTTACTGCACTGCAGCATCTGGGTGGAGCCTCAGAACCTCTCAGAACCCCATGGGCTGGTATGGGTGTGGGAGGCAGACAGGCCATTCTCTGGGCATTGGCCTGCACCTAGAGTCAAGGCTCCTGGTCATACATCCTACTTGTGTTTCCATTTAAGTGGTAGAACTTGCTGTGCTGCCATCTGTTCTCTACATTTTCATTTTGAGATATTAACATGTTTTTTACGTCCACAGCATGAGAACTTCAGGAAAAAACAGATTGAAGAATTGAAGGGACAAGAAGTCAGCCCCAAAGTATACTTCATGAAGCAGACCATTGGGAACTCCTGTGGTACCATCGGACTTATACACGCAGTGGCCAATAATCAAGACAAACTAGAATTTGGTAAGTGTGAGTTTTGAGGCCAGTCATCCTCTAGTTGACTTCTAGTTAAATGTAACTCTTCATTCCAAACAAATCCCATAAGGGTCTATTCAGCAATATCATTGCCTTCAAAATTTTTGAAACTTACTTATCCAGAGATAATCAGTGGGTGAATTCTTGTTTCTCTCTTTTAAAGGAAGGAAACTCATTTTCTAAGCATGGTTTGGCTTCTTAGAGGAAGAATGAGTGTGATCCTTAGTTTTATACTGCCTTCCTGCATGTGCTCTTCCATCTGCAGACAGCTTAGTTGCGTCTGAGGTGAAGAATAAAGAACATTCTTTTGGACCGATTACTGTCATCATTCTCATGTGTTCCTGTTCAATTCGCAACAGTTCTGAAAAGTTAGAGATGGTGTTAAGCCATAAAACATCAACAGTTAGGACCTGTCTTTAATGGTGCTGTGTCTCATAAGCAACAGGAGGACCAAAACAGTTTAGAGCAGCCAGACGCATACAGTGTGCAAGTTCTTGCAGGGAGGCATAGCAACAGGTTGAAACCTTGAAAGATCTAACTGTGAACAAAGTCAGGTTAGGGACTTTAACCCACTTTCAGTGGATGTTGTGGATGATGTAAAAGAAATGAATGAGTCTTAATTTTATCATACGCACAATTAATAGCTCTAAAATATGTTAAAATACATGGTCATTTTGTCTGACTTAGGTCAGGGGTCAGCAAACTTTCTTAAAAGGCCAGAGTAAATCTTGCAAACTTGAGGGCCATATGGTCTCTGCCCTTGTAGTGCAAAAGCAGCCATAGACAATATGTAAACCAATGAACATGGCTGTGTTCCAATAAAAATTTATTTACCGAAATAGGTGGCAGTAATCTGATTTAAACAATGGGTGAGGTGGCTAAGGATTAAATAATTTCAACTAATAGTCCACACTCTTCCTTTTAGCAGGTCAGATACATTTAAAAAAAAAAAAAAAAAAACCAAGGAAAATGTGGCCAAGACTAGCTACTACTGGTATACTTTTGAAATTAAAAAAAAAAAAAAAAAAGGTTTTCTTGGCCATAAATATCCAGATCTTCTAAAAGTTACTTTTTCAAATATTAACTTGACTTGGCCATGTTAAAAAGTTGTAGCTTGATTCCTTCTATTTTTCTGCAGTAATTCTCACTTAAGAGTACTATGTTCTTGAGGTCAGCAGAGATACAGTAATTCTTTTGTAACCAGGGACATGATAGTGCCAAAGGCTTAATCTGAATCACAGCCGTCATAAAGTTAAATGGATTCCTGTCACTTCTAAATTTTGAATGGTCCCAGTTTAACAAATTTACTTTAAGTTGAGAGCTGAAAGTCCAAATCGAGGTCTTCTGAAATACAAGTCACTCTTGCTCTAGCTGTGTAGTCGGTGTCTCCTAGACTTATCCACACTGAGCAACAGCAAAACACTTATACTAACTGTCAGCCAGTCAGTTGTCTCTAGGCCACACTATTTGGCTCTTAACATTTCTGTTAAAATCCTTAAGCTAATGTCTGTCTGGATACCTGTATTGATAAGCTTGCATTTTCTACCTTGAAATAAAAATCTTGGTTTGAGACCATTATTAGATTAGAATGTTATTGTGTATGTCTGCAATACACATTAACTGTTCATTGCTAGGTGCTGTAGGTATAGTAATAGGTACGACAGTTCCTGTCTTTATGACACTAAAAATCTCACAAATATGTGTTACAAAAGGATAAGTTCTATACCAAAGTGATGATAAGAGATTTGAGAGATAAGTGTGAGGTGTGGGAATGGTTAGGAGCAGAGGCAAGAAAGCTTTGCACATGGGAGGAATGGTGAGATCTCTAGCTTGAATGCACTGAGTAGGGAGTGGTGGGGAAAAAGAGGCTGGGGAAGATGGGACAATTTATCCACATCCTTGGGGGTCATTGTAAAGATTCAGGTCGCTAAATATGACCAGCTTATACAACAGCTTAAATCAGTAGTAACATGCATCGTTTGCATTATTTTATGTATACTAATATGTGCATTTTTTTTTTTTAAAGATGATGGGTCAGTCCTGAGACAGTTTCTTTCTGAAACGGAGAAGTTGTCCCCTGAAGACAGAGCAAAATGCTTTGAAAAGAATGAGGTAGGAAAAGAACTTTAGGAGCATCACTTTTCAATAACTCTGGGAAGTTTTTGCATTAAGGATTTTCTCTTCTGCAGGCCATTCAGGCAGCCCATGATGCTGTGGCTCAGGAAGGCCAGTGTCGGGTAAGCGCAAATGCAAATCAGCCAGACCACCCAGGAGTCACCTGTGTTTTCCCAGAAATATATGCAGGAACCTCTTACTGGAACCCATTAAATGTTGTTTTCCACCCAAGGCCAATTAACATCAGAAAACTACTGAAATAACACGTTGACCAGACTGGTTCATAAAAAAGGCTCTCAGATCTAATTGGGAATTGACATAGTCTTGAGTAAATTCAAACTGATAGTATTTTGTTTAGATCCAGATGAGTCTAGTAGAGTGAGTAACACCCTTCTTAGTAGTTGAGCATTTCGGATATTTTCTCAGACTGTTGGGGATAGTAAGGTATACCAACAAGGACTGACAGTTTTTAGGCTTATATGTACCATTAATCTGAACAGAACCTTCTAGTCAACTGTTCCATTAGATTTAAATCAGTGGCAGTACCTCTATGACGGTTGGCTCTGCCACTTTCTAGTCTTGAATTTGGATGAGATACTTATCCTCCCTAAGCCTTAGTTCCCTCCTCGGTAAAAAACAAGTTACAGAGTTCTGACAGTTACAGTCTATCTACTTTAATGAGATTAGATTAGGGCCTAGTATATAGATAATACATAACTATTAGCTATAATAACTTAAAAAATATACAAGCAAGTCAGTTCATATACTTATTATATTTCTAACAAATTAAGTTCTTATAAAACAATCATTTTCAAAGAAATTTCTTCTTTCAGGTCGATGACAAAGTGAATTTTCATTTTATTCTCTTTAATAACGTGGATGGCCACCTCTATGAACTTGGTATGTTTTACTCCATTTTTGGAATCTAACATAGTTTAATGAATGCTTTCACACTTAGTTCCTCTTACAGTATTGGCATGTAACTTATGGCACTTAATATATTATTTTTGAAGCCAAAACAACTGGGTATTTTTCTGGGGGCACTTAACCCTTTATCCTACCATGAGCGTCCCCCTTCAGGCAGCTGACCTGCTAAATGAATGGCTTACTGGCTTTAGTCACAGGAGAATAAAGCTTCTAGGTCACCACCAGTCGGATGCATGTGTATTCAGTTTTTCTGTTCCCACCTTCCACTACAGCACTATCAGTACAGGATTATCTTCTAGCATCATTCTTTTCAGATAAGGAATACTTTGGAAAAGATAAATGCCAAAATATGACCTTGTTTATGTAAAAATGGTTTGGACATGTTGGAGTCATTTTTGATAACTGGTATTCATCTTGTAAGAGAGTCATCTATTAATGGAGAAAGACTTGCATCTGTTGTCTCAAGTCAGGACACTGCCTATGGGCATAGAAGGGTAAAGGAGACTTAGGGCTAACTGGCAGTCATTGAGGGGCAGATGCAATCTCAAGGGTCCCTTCTTGCCTCCACCTTCCCTGCACCTCAGACTATATTTGACTTTTGTTCTGTGGTCCTTCCCAGGAGATGGGGCACAAGCCCTTCACAAGCTGAGTTGAGCTTGTGTGATCTTGTTACTTACAGATGAGGATTGCCTGGAATAGAAATCTAGGGACACTGGAACCTTCTTTCTATCCTGTTGCTTCATAACCAGGCTTCCCTTTGTGGGAGTGGCAGTGGTATTCGGGAGAATTTTAAACTTCCCTTTAGGCTGGACAGGCACAGGAGCCAGAAATCATGCAGAGAAAATTGACATGCCTGGCGTCTTTGTTACAGATGGACGGATGCCATTTCCGGTGAATCATGGCAGCAGTTCAGAGGACTTGCTGCTGCAGGTAAGCTTTGGAATCCATCTTCAGTAGGGCCCATGTTTCTTTAGCCAAGTTGTTTATTCTAAGGACAGCCAGCACCAAGCATCTGGATTAATCACATTCTTTGGGGCTTACAGGTCATCTTAGTAATTTTATCTTATTTTATAGCAAATGGTTTTAAATAGGATCTTTCAGAGCAGCCCTGACTGATCTGTATTGTACGCTGTCTTCAGCCCATAGTTAGAATTAGCCTGAAAACCATTGCTTTGTTTCTTTGTGGAAGTAAGGTGACCATCACCCCCTTGTCTGGTTACGTCATAGCTGATGACTAATGGAGCAGCAGCGTGAACCTTCCCTTATCCCTCCCAGGCTACTGAATTTGGGTCAGTTTTGTAGGTGGTGTATTAAGGATTCTGATTAGGCAGGTAACTTCAGGAACACTTTCTTTCCACATGGTCCACTCTTACAGGATGAGAGAAGCAGATTCAAAACATGCCTGACAAGAACTTGAAGATCACTATAACCATCTTGGTACAAGTGACTACAGAAACTTCTTAATTCTGGACTGGGGCTCTTAGGCTACCCTAGGCTTCTTCACACTAAAACAAGTCTCTACAGTTGAATCAGTTTGCTGTTATAAAGGAAAATTGCATAATCGTGATAAAATAAAAAAATGCTGTTAAGGTATAACTGCTTCATTTATAGCACTAACAGCTGATCTTTCTTCAGCACATGTTGTGTGCAGACTGGCGGACAACAAACTTTTTCTGTAAAGAACCAGATAGAAGAAGATGGTTTAGGCTGTATGTGGCATATGGCCTCACTGCAAGTATTCAGTTCTGCTTTTTCAGCTCCAAAGCAGCCCATAGAGAAGGGTTAAATGAATGTGTGTGGCGGTTCCACTGAAACTCTAGTCACAAACACAGGCAGCAGGCCGGATTTGGCCCACAGGCTGCAATTTGCTGTCCCTGTGCTAGATGCTCTTCTTAGTGACCTACAGCTTATATAGAATCCTTCTAAGGATACTGTTGGGTGTTATTTACATTTTACAGATGAGGAAACCAGAGTGCAGAAGTTAAGTGATGCCTAAGGTCAGTGACTTAAATGGAAGAATCATGGCTCACATCTAGACAGCTGTCTCTGGAGTCTGTGCTCTTAGTCACTATATAACATTGACTTTCTGTATAATAGGCTTGTCTTTGGAATGTCATGGACCTGACGACTCAAGGTGCTAGTGGGCCAAATATGCCACTCTAGGAAGGAGGGTCACTTTCTCCAGTTTGCTGTCATACACACCTGTGATCACTTAGAGCTAATTCTGGATATTCAAAGGATATATGAGAATAGTAATATAGAATGAGAACTAGACCTAGAGAAAGAGAATGGGGGCAATTTGCAAGAAAGAGTCAGAATTTACTTATGGGGGAGAGTAAGAACAGAAGCAAAATTTCTGGTTGTGACCCATTTGGGAGAAGATTCTGGTTCTTCTAATAAAGCTCTAATGTAACTCATATCTAACACTAATAACACAAAATGCGCCCCACATTGGATACCTAAAACTTAATGTGAGTAGAATTTATGAGGTGTGAGGAAGGTAAATCTTTTTTTTTTTTTTAAACTAATTAGAATTTCATTTAAAATTAAATGACTATAAACCAGCATCTTAATTCATGAAAATTATTAAATCAGCTTGGTTCTGTATGGTTAAAGATGTTTTAGGTTGCCTAAACTATAAACGAAATTGTTAAGCCAATGAGAAAATACATAAATTTAACCCAAATATCCTCAACGTGAATGAATTTAGGTTACCACTCATTGTGCAGGAAATGGCTTTCTCTCTTCAAAAGCACACACTGAATATTAGCACCAGTGGGGGTCCTATTGGAAAGTAAAGTGGGGGAAGGAAGGCCTGGAATATCAGTATATTAAAAATTCTGATAGAGAATAAAATGTAAGTGTCAGT